TCTCTCTCTCTCTCTCTCTCTCTCTCTCTCTCTCTCTCCCTCTCTCTCTCTCTCTCCTTTCCCTTTCTCATTCTCTCTGTCCGTCTGCCCACAACCGCACGCAAACGCAACGTGAGATCCTTCGCATTCGCGCGATTTCGATCCCCGCTTTCCGAGGAAAGCTCGCCCGTTCATCGTGTCTATTGCCGACCGGTGATCTCGCAGTAGCAATTCTTTGGTCGACGCAATTTACTTATTATCAGTCCACGCAAATTACATTCAGGGAACGATTACTAGAGGAGTTTGTTCGACTTTGCGAATTTTATTTGGGCCGAGTGCCCGAGTAACGCAAAAAGGACTGATGCCTGGCTAGAAGATAGGTAGAGAAATACCGATAAAAAGTCGACGTTCTATTCAATTGTTATATTCCCAATCACTTGGTTATATAATGTCGTTCAATAGCACAATGCGCACTTAGAATGAAGCAATCAGGGAGATTAATCACGAATACCTTTTTGAACGTTCACCACGTTTATATAACGTCGATATATGTAATTGTGTGTATCAGTTGATAACTGAATTTCAACATCTCCAGGAAACACAGCACGAGCATGAACACTTGCTCACTTAGTCACTCTCTCTCTCTCTCTCTCTGTCCGTTCCAGGTACGGATGATGGAGGAGCGGCTGGTGAAGGGTGAATACTGCCTGAGCACATCCGGCGTTGGTTCTCCGCCGCATTCGCTACCGTCGACCTCCGGTACGCAGAATGACAAGATCGAGGATGTTCATTGTGCCTGCATCTCGAAGTTAGAGACCCAAGTTGAGGAGCAGGTAAATGGAACTGTATTACACGCGCGAGAAACTTGCGCATTAAAACAAGTACTCTTTGCTAAGAAGAAAAAAGAAAATGTTGAGAGTCTGATAATTTTGGGGTCACAATTGACTGAAAGTAATTGTGATAAGAACGTACGCTTAAACTCAAGAAATGGTCTTGCAGTCATAGCGAAATTTATTTAGATACGAGGAATTAGCTGAGATAAATAAATGACAAACAAACATTGCTATATCGCATATGACTTGATATGACTATCCACATATATGTATCTGAACTAACTTAAATAGTTTAAATTACAAAAATAATTTAAACTTAAATAGTTTAAATTACAAAAATGTGTAATTTAAAATGTAACAAAAGAGTCTCTTTCTGTAGCATCCATCTAGATTAAAGCCAGTCACTGTTTATAAATTAACAAAAAAGACTGGCAACAAAAGGCAAACTAATCCTCACGCACTCAACTAAATTTGCTCGCGGATATTGCTAGAATGTTGCTGTTGTAAATTTTATAAGCAATTTTTTAGCAGATACCAAAAACAATAATAAAATTTAACTGTGACATTTAAAGTTCTATCTAGACCTGCAAAACATTATTTTAAGTTTATTAGTTTGCAAAGATAATTGCGAGGAATCACAATTCGCGCTGCTCTTGCAATCTTTTTCCTTAATACTCGAGATTACGATATCTGACAGTTGCCCGAATGGGTGAGATCAAGCCGAGAGTTAGTCTTATCAATCAGTCATCGTTCCTCGTTTGCAGAGGCAATTACGGCTGCAAGACGCCAGGCAAGTAGAGGCGAAAGCAGCGAGGATAAAGGAATGGGTCACTAACAAGCTGAGAGAACTGGAACAACAGAACCAACACCTAAGAGAACAGAACAACAAGTGTAACCAGCAGCTCGAGCTGTTGCGTAATCATATAACCAACATTGGACTTAAACCACCCGTAAGTTTTGCGACAGTCCATTGCGACATGTCTCTGTTTGTTTGTTCCTGGCTTATACCATTAATAAGACTTTAACTGGCGCAACAACTGCGTTTCATTATAAAGATTTTCGCGTGACGCAGGCACCGACGAGAGCGTCGCTGTCTCTGGAGGTAGACCCCACTCTACGCAGACGATCGGAGAGCCTGGAGGGCACGCCGCAGACGGTGCCGGAGTGCGTGCAAAACATCGTGACAGAGCCGCAAACGGGCACAAAGCACCGGAGGCATTTGTCCGCTTGCGGTACCATTCAACGAGGAATCGCGACCACCAACATGGACTCGAGGTAAGGTTTTCCACCGGCTCTCTCCCCTCCTCCTGCCGCAGCGGGCGCACACTTGCGGACGCAAATGCTTCGCGTAAAACTACGTTACCACGACCATGAGGCTGAACGTTACCTCCTCACTCGATACTCTTCACGGAACATGAAAAAAAAAAGAAACGTATTTGTACTGCTCGTATCTTTCGATTCTCCTTGGGAGGCCTCACGACGTAATAGCGGCGCCCGAGTTTTCGAAATGGTACCCTGTAACGTCCTGGGACTTCCTGAGGGGATCCATCGACCCTCCCAACTGTCCTTCGATATTATTACGAGATTTTGCATCAAGAATCAATCCTCATATGTTTTGCAAACAGTTGTATTAGCAAACGCGCGCAATGACACACACAATATACACAGACAGAAGACAATTAAGTCGGTTCCGTGCTTTATGCTTGCCGCTTTTCTTTATTTTGTCTCAGTCTGCTGTCCGAGGAACTAGCCGCGGCGGTGGAGAACCTAGTGATGCTGCCGAACATACCCGGCGTCTCGGAAGTGAGCAGAGACAGCGGAAGCTCAGAAGCGGTGCACGACTATGCCGAAATCTACACGCCCAGCAGAGAGGGCATGAACTGGCTGCAGGGTGGAAGTCAAGGCCCCCGTCCGCCAACTCCGCCGTTGCACAGATTTCCCAGCTGGGAGGCGAAAATATATCAGGTAACCAGAGTGACGATGTGTGTAGGTGCTAATATAGGTATCGTTAAAGCAAAATGAACTTAACGCCATGTAACGATCTGGTTGACGATTTGTAGGTGGCTGACGGCGGCCTTGGCATCGGTCCACCGACAAACGAGGAATCCGCTCCCTCCACGATGACCAACACGACAAGTTCATCAAAGCATTCCCAGGCGACGGGGCATAATATGACAGCGCATAACTCGCAAGGCTACTGCGATATTTCTGTTCCAGTATACGCCACTGTCAAAGGTACATTTGCACCTGTTTCTTCTCGAGTGCGATAATGCACGGATAATGATTATTGAATGTAACATGTTAAAACTACTGATAATCGGATTAACTCGTCCACTGACTGGTATAGAGTGAAGCTAACGTTGGTTTTCATATTTGACGATGATGGTACAATCCTCAGGACGCGCCAGCCAAATCAGATCGATGCCCTTTGGCGACAGTTCGGACGATAGCTCGGACGGAGAGGAACACCCTAATCAAACCGAAACTAACACCAGAATCACTAACAGTTCGTCCGATAATACGGATTCCTCCCTCGGCAGTGGAAGCAGTCCTTCGAAAAGCATCAAAACGACCAGCAGTCTCAGTCCCGCGAAGAGAAGTTCTAGCGGCTCCCCCAGTAAAAGCGTAAAACGTGGTGAGTTTCATTGGCTTTCTATTTAAGTGTAATAAAAAAAGGTAATATACGAAATAACAAAGAAGGAAATATCGAATTTCGTGCATAAAATATCGGATATCCGACAACTTTGATATTGTTTAACTTGCAGACACTTCTCTCGAGTCAGGCTTGTCCGAGGATTATGCAATACCTCCTGACGCGCTCAGCTCAACGTCTTTAGAATCTAGCATGCCTAGTCTACTGATGCGCGTGTCCGGCGAAAGCCCAAAAAGACAAGAATCGTTAGAGAAAACTGGCCACCTGGCGAAACTGGGCGGCAAGTTGAAGACCTGGCGGAAGCGGTGGTTTGTTCTGAAGAACGGCGTGCTAACTTACTGGAAGAGTCAGAATGACGTCAATCGGAAACCTCAGGGCCAAATAATCTTAGACGAAGTGTGTAGGTACGTATATTTAGCGCGCACATGGTGCTTCGCGAAGTTTTATTTGAGACTACATAACACGAATGTACGAAAATCCAGATGAAAAAAAGAATAAAGAGTATTGAGAAACGCTTCTGCGTATCTTCCAGGATTAATAGAGCCGAAGGTGCCGCTACCTTCGAGATAGCCACCGGTAAGAAGACTTATTATCTGACCGCGGATTGCATAGCCACGATGGAGGATTGGATAAGAGTGCTGCAGAACGTACAGAGGCGAAACGCGACGAAACTCTTGCTCAGCAAGGAGGATAACAAGCCGACGATACAGGGCTGGCTAACAAAAGTGAAGAACGGCCACGCGAAGAGATGTTGGTGCGTGCTCATCGGCAAGATGTTCCTGTACTTTAAGTGCCCCAGCGACACGGTAAGTACGCGTACAGGTGTGCGTATTGTTATTAAACTTATCCAGGAAAATGCAACGATTATACAATGATCGAGTTTGGTCAATAATCAGTTAATCGGTATGTCAATGTCGCCGTTCAAATTGTAATCTCTCGTGCAATTCCAGAATCCTATCGGTCAAATCAACATGAGGGACGCTCGTGTGGAGGAGGTGGAACACGTGTCGGACAGCGACAGCGAGGAGAGGGACGCCGAGTGTCCGCACGAGAGAACAATCGGTATCATCCCGACGCATCAGGGTCCTACGTATCTACTAATGCCGCACAAACAGGATAAAGACAACTGGCTCTACCACCTGACGGTAGTGTCTGGCGGCGGACCGAGCGCGGGAACGCAATACGAACAGCTGGTACAAAGACTAATGGAGACCGACGGGGATCCCACCTGCGTGTTATGGCGACATCCTCTACTTTTGCATACGAAAGAGAATATCACGAGCCCACTGACTAGCCTGACCTCCGAGTCCCTGCAAACCGAAGCCATAAAACTTTTTAAGGTTGACATTTTTTCTTTTTATAACAGCTGCTTACTATATTTTTAGTGCTGTGTTTTTTACACTTTTATATATATTTTTTTTTTTTTTTTTTTT